GATTGCCAAAGAAATTGACACATGTCTTCACGTACTGTAGGAAAATTAGGAATTGGTTTCAAAACCGGGTTTCAAATAGCCCCTAGGTAACAAGTTTGCAGGAGAACTGGTAGCAGCAGATTTATCATTAAAGCTGAGTTTTGCCTGTAGAAATAGAATACCATATTATAAATGGAGAAGTGTTAATCAGCTTCTCCTGTGATCATGTGTCCAAGATTGATTTCCATTTCACCAACAGAAAAGTGTGTTAATCGGCTTCTTCTATGATAATATGTGATATGCATCCAAGATTGATTTCAGTTTCAATAATAACGATGATCATTTAACCATCCAAAGTATATGAGCCCTTAATATGCTGATCAGAACTCTCTTAGCCCCTGTTTGGCCACCTTTTTCTCAAACTCATTTTTAACCATGGGACCCACAACTTTTATCAACTTTTTAACCACACATTTCATCAAATTTTATTAAAATCTACTAAAAATCTGATTTTTATCTAAACCGAAGGGGGCTTAATTTATTTCCTTCCCAAATCAATCAGACATTATTGTACTGTCCTCAGTGATAAAAGTAGTAACTAATCAACTGCAAAAGGAGAGAGATTCACATTAATAAAATCACAAGAGTTAATATTATTTACATCCTCAAGGCCACGAGGCCACTACCACGTTCAGTTAACTGTAGAAGCTGAAGAGAAGGCATTTTAAAGGTAGACCACCTTTGAAGACCAGTTTCAGCGACTAAGAATACCGTCTTCTTGAGATCTAGAGGAAAAATGGTTTCATCTTATTGTGCACAGAAAATCTATGGAATGCCAAGTTTGAGAACTAAATTGATGCAGACGTCACACATGAAAACATTGAAAACAAAACAAAAACAGAAGTTCTAGATAAATGATAGTTTAACAGACAGTAATTATTCATGTGCAGCAATATAAGAGTATAACAAGAGCACAGTGAGCTCAAAAAACTCAATCTATAGAATCATACATGTTTATAGTATATTCAGGCATGCCAAGGAAGAATTATCCTCTCTTCAAAGTTCGATTCTACTTGTTAAAGGGTATTTAGGTCTTTTATGTAATACATAGGG